ATCTTTTGGAAGGTTCAGCATTCACTTTTCTGTGAGTCCTGCATGTCCAGTTGATACAGCATACCTTTAAACAGTCCTGACAAGACCAGCTTCTTGCCCAAATGGTTAGCCTTGTGACATTGAAGGCAAATTCCATAATGAGTTTCTTTAATGCCCATCAACCTCATTGAAGTAATTGGTGCTGCCAGAAGCAGACATGTCTCACTGTTGAGAAAAGTCTAAGTTCTTAAAAACATTTTAAATGTCATATTCTGTAGGTCTTTGAAAAATTTGAAGAATTCCTATTCATCTGACATATATCTCTGTACATCTAGAAAACCTAACGTGACTGCTCATTTGTCTATTATAAATGACTATATTAATCTGCAGTTTTTAATTACTCATTACATTATTAAATGAACTGCACAAACACAATACCTTAATCAAGAGCAAGAATACATATATACAGTATAACAAAATTGACTTTAAATTTGTATCAATAGACCAAAATCCTACCAATGCAAAGTATTCATCTCTATATCATATCCCTGCCTTTTTTAAAAGAAATTGATTTTTACCATTTATCATTTATAACCAACTTCTTAAAAATGAAAATAAACATTTATAAACAATAATTTTGGGAATTTTAGCATAGTTTCTTCCAAACTGCTTCCTGCTATTTGTTGGACTAGGTATTTTTAGTGGTTCACAGAGACCTTTCAGGGGGTCTTGTTCTATCCAACCATATTAGCGTGGGAGGAATCCACAAGTTCTCATTTTCTGTGGAAACAAAAGTAGGACCTCTTTTCCAAAGTGGCAAATCCTTAGACTCAAATTTTGATGTCAAGGTACCTTTAAAATATATATGTTGGTTTAGCTTAACAGTCTGTACAATGAAATGTCTCTCTGAAGTTAGCTCATTAACATTCAAAAAATTTAAAGAAAACACAATAGTATACATAATCCAGAAACACATACATAAGGAACATCCCACATCAGGGTTTCTCTGTGTAACAGCCCTGGCTCTCCTGGAAATTACTCTATAGACCAGTCTGGCCCTGAACTCACAGAGATCTGCTTGCTTCTGACTCACAAGTTCTGGGATTAAAGGCATGTACCACCACTGCCCAGCAATACTAACTTCTAGAATACATACTTTTCATGGTAAAACTAAAGGAAATCAAAGAAAGAGCCGAAGAATCATTCCTTAACAGGGAATGATGATGATTGTCTAGGTGTCCCTTGGGGTGCCAATGGTCATGACCTAAATTGTTACCTGGTTTTCTTCTATCTTTTAAAAAATACTAATTTGTTATGCTACACAACCACTCCATGTGGTATTTTGGTGTGGGGAATCCTTCTATATATGTGTTGCTTTTATTGGTTAATGAATAAAGCTGTTTTCAGCCAGTGGCTTAGCAGAATAGAGCAAAGTGGGAATCCCAAGCAAATAGAGGAGGATAGAAGACAGAGTCAGGAAGACACCCACAGAGCCCACCGTAATCTTGCTGGTAGGCCACGACCTCATGGTGTGATATGTAGATTAATAGAGATGGGTTAATTTAAAATATAAGGGCTAGCTAGCAATACAACTAAGTGATTTGGTGATAGTGGTAATGTGGGGAGGAGTTTTAATTAATACAGTTTCTGTGTGACTATTTCAGGTCTGAGCAGCCAGGAAATGAATGGTCTCTGCCAACAGTATTTTTTTGTTTTAGTCACAATAATTTAAAAAGAATAACTATAATAGAATGGATAAATGTATTTCTTTTATGATGAAATAATACTATAAAAATATGTGTATCACTTAAGATTTTTAGATGTCCCATTTGTGTCTGTCCATATTCTTTGGATGCCGAATGAAAACAGTGGTATCTAGCTGTAGACTAGATAGCTGTTGGCAATAGAATCTGGGTTTTACAGAGTATGCTCTTTGTAAATGGGAAACTCTTTATTAAATATTCCTTTATAAGATTAACACCATAGAAAATGTTTTCACCATTTAAACTTGAGATGTTAAGGTATGAGGTGGAAATAACATTTGAGTAAAACACACGCGAACTCTAATAGAAACACCCAAGGCAGTAGTGGTAGTTAAAATGCACCTTAGTTGTAGAGAGGATAATGGAAAGTACCTAACAGTCCTTTTACCTCTTAAGGGATTGTTTGCTGCTGTTAATAGTTCCTTTATTTTTTCACACAAAAAGAAAATTGTATTTGATGCAGCTAATTAAAGGAAAACTGCAATTTGATTTTTAGAAAGGGAAGTGTTATCTGAAGTCATTTACTTTGGTCGAAACATTTGACGTCTTGTGGCTTCAATAATGTTCTACCTTTAAGGTGGTCTGTGGCATAATACAACCTCATAAATGCTTGAACAGAGGTGTTAGCCTATGTGACTGGCAGAGCCATTTTCTAGGAACTGGTAGGAAGGCACAAGTATCATGGGAATTAAGAATTTAGGTTCTAGAATTAGATGTGGATTTTTGTTCATCACTTTATCTAGATGTTTCATTGTGTAGTTTAAACTAATGTTTCTTCCTGCAGTTCTTCATCCTTGCAATAAGGATATTAGTATGGTAGGAGAGGCTGGGGGGTAGGAGAGGCTGGGGGGTAGGAGAGGCTGGGGGGTAGGAGAGGTTGGAGGGTTGACCTGGACATGAGACAGCCTGGACTTTACTCTTTCCATGGTGTGAATTACATACAGGAAACTGCATGTGGAGAAACTTGTTCTAACTGTGAAAATACCTGCAGAGGAGGCTCCACAGCCCATTGCCTTTTGCTCCAGGAGGTATACTAGCCACTGTACCTGCCCTCTCGCGGTATACTCCATAAATTATTGCTCTTATTCTGGCCTTGAACTCTGAGTTCTGCCTACTTCTGCTTTTCAAGTGCTTGGATTAAAGGCATGCACCACCACGCCTGGCATCTTTTGTCTTCCCAACCAATGTTTTTATCATATTTTTTGAATATGTACTATGTACTGTGAAATGCTTTGTAGCATCAATCTATTCTGTGCTATGAGGAGAGGTCTCTTAATCATACATAGATATAAAGATTTTTTTTTTGTAAAGTAGTTTATACAGATTGAACTTTCATATTGGGATCTTTTTCAGAAGCTTTTATCAGTAACCCTACCAAGGTATGTGGTTTACATGTTAAGTTCAGGCAAGCCAAATCCACATACATACATACATACATACATACATATATACATATAGTTTTTTTAAAAAAGATGGCTTCCAACTTCTAAAGGAAATTGAAAAAAAAATTGACTAGTGAATTTATAATTGTCCAAGGTCATTTCTCCAACATAATGAAGTAGTTCTTCATCTTCATCTTCTCCTTCTCTTCCTCCTCCTTATCATCATCATCATCATCATCATCATCATTATTATTATTTGTGACAGGGTTTCTCTGTGTAACAGTGCTGGCTGTCCTGGAATTTACTTTGTAGACCAGGCTTGCCTCAAACTCACAGAAATCCACCTGCCTCTGCCTCACCAGTGTCAGAATTAAAGGCGTGCACCACCACTGCCCAGCTTGAAGTAGTTCTTTAATTAAGTGTCCGCTTTGGTGAACATCTATAGATTCCCCCAACTGACGAGATGTCCCCAATTTGTCTTTGTCTCTCTCTGTCTGTTTTTTCTTCTCTTCTTGGCTCCCTCCCCCAAGATAGATTATCACCCCGAAGCCCAGACTGGTCTCCTATTTGCTATGTAGACCTCAAACTTGAAGCAATCCTCCTTCCTCAGTTTCCAGAGTGCTGGGATGACGTTATTAAAATTATTTTTATATTTGTTTGTGTTGAATATGTGTTGTATTCATACTTGTAAGGGTGCATGCATGTCAGAACAAAGGACAGCTAGCAGGGCTCTCTTTCCCATGTGAGTCCCAGGAATTGAGTTCAGGTTGTCAGTATCTTTAGTCACCAGTTCATCTTGCTGGCCCTGTAGGGTTTTTTTGCTTTTGCTTTTGTTTTTGTTTTGTTATTGTTGTTTGTTTTAAACCTCCTCATATAATTTGATCCTGGTGGGGAGGGTCAGAAGCAAAACCCATGATGGCTTCCAGAAGCTGCGGGCACTGGCAGTGAGCAAGCAAATGTGGAGGTATTTTTATTTCAAGCTTTCTGAACTGCTGATACACTTGGAAGGTTTCATTCATAAATAAAAGAAAATAATGTTCACAGAGTGTTGGCATACTGTGAAAGTCAAATTATTTAAAGTACAGTCTCTTCAGTTTACTTTTACTAGAAGACTATATCAGAAATAGTCATCATCAATGGTGGTTGTGCCCACTGAGGGCAGCTGGAAGGCAACTGTGGATGCTGATGACTTTGAGACAAATTCTGTTCCATCCCTAAAGACAGCTGTAGAAGCAAACTCCCTATTTCCGGAGAATGTTTCCCAGGTTGCTTCACTGCCAGGTATTTGGTACCATGGCATCGTGGTTAACTGTAGCCTTTGGGAGTGAGGCCTTCTGCAGACTGCCACTTCCTGCTGCCTTGGCTTCTGTTTTCAGGGCTTGTCAGTAGGTAAGAGTGTTCCACTGGCCTCTGTGCTCACCCTAGTAAAGACCGTTGTTTATTGTTTCCCCATGAAACTGAGACAGCCAGCAAGATAAACCTGGAAATGCTGTCACTCAGTGAAGTATGTGCTCCTGCTGTTCCCAAGAGTAGTTCATTTGTTTGTGGCAAGAAACCTTTTTCCTGTGGTCCTTCATAGAATAAAACCCCATTTTATAGTACAGATTTGATGCAGCCATCTTGAGGTTGCAGAGAATCCAAATGCTGTGCTTCCTGCATCAGGACCGTTTTTTGCTCCCCATCCACTCTTCCTCTTTTCTTGACCTCGCAGCAGGAAGCCTTTGTGTGAGGTTCTCATCTGGAACAACTTCTCCACACTTGTTTTCGTGTTCTGTTGGATTGCAGGGCAGCGGGCCTACCTTTGAAGGTCCTTTCTCTTTTATTTCTTTGCTGTGCACTCCAGTAATTAACTTTGTCCTTCTTTTATTTGTTCCAGTCAATCGCAGGCCACTCTGCTGAGCATCTTCTCCCAGGAGTACCAGGTTAGAAGTTTTCTCCTTTGTGAGGGTTGACAGGTGCCTAATTGAATGATGAATGTCCCTTTATTTCTTTGTAATTGAACTGCCAGCTCTCTGATTGGGTTGGAGGATGTTCTCCTTTCCACATCAAGCACCGCCTGCGTCTCAGTGGAGGCCTGCCAAGCCTACCCATCCATCTGTCTAATAACATCTAGCCTTTGCTTATTTGGTGGACCTGTAATAAATTATGCTAAACCATTATTATTCTGACAATAATAATTTCCCCGTGTTGCGTGGCTCCATGTGCTAAATGTTTGCTGACTTGCACTGTCAGTGCCGCTTCCCATTGCTGACAGAGATGATGATAAATGACCACGGCTGGAGTGGCAGAAGGCAAGAGAGGCAGAAAATGGAGTCATTTATCATGAGATGACAGGTGTCAGTCAAGTGGCAAGTCTCTATGGAATTACTTTTTGTAGTTTTCAAATAAGTTGTTTTTAAGCAATGTTCTTCCTGGTTAAATATGGCAATTGGATTGTAAAACCCGAGTGCCGAGGACTTAGATGGAATTGAATTGAGGGAAAATTAATACAAAGGTTGAAAGAGGGAACAAGTTTTCCTTTGCCCTCTGCAGCCCTAAGCAAACTTATTTAGATTCAATTACTATGACCCTGGTGGCTTTTACATATATACTGTACTGTGGTACGGTCTGAAGACATCCCAGCCAAGCAGGAGATTAAAATGCATAGATGTAGTAGCTGCAGAGGAAATTCTGCTGCCACTCCAGTCCCCAAGCCATTACTTACCAATTTGCCCCGTGTGCTTGCCCCTGGGGTGAGGAAATATGTGTTTGCTGTTCTTGAACCTGATATGTGACACAATATTAAAATTTTTTTTGCGTTTTTTTTTCCAGAAACATATTAAAAGGACACATGCCAAACATCACACACCAGAAGCGATTGAAAGTTATTACCAGAGGTATGACCTGCCTGCCCCACTAGAGGGTATCACAATACCTATTAATTGTGGTAATTATTATGAATAAATTAGATCATTAAATTGATTTTTTATAGTTTCAAGACTGTTATTTAAAACTTGTAGCATATTTGTCAGTAAGTTTTTAAGTGCTTTCTTTGGCATGTGTGGATAATATGGTGACGATGTCAGTGTAGGTGTGTGCACATGTCCTATATGAGATGAAGCCAGTTATTACTGTGTCTTATTTGTTTACTTGAAAGTTTAAGCCACATCTTTTATGGATGTATACGTTCACATGTACATATGACCCACATGTATATGTGCAAGTTTTCAAAGCAGTTTTCATTTATTTCTTATCCAGATCAGCAAGCTGAAAAAAAAAATAGAATTGAAATCCAATGTAGTATTTTGCCTCCTATCTGTTGGGTTAGCCATTTTAGCTATTTAAGATAGACCTTCCTCAAATAAGCACTTTATGGAGACACCTCAGTTTTTACAACGAAAATCTTTTAATGGGGCCTTTATGTTTTTGATAAAAATGTTGAGTGTTAGTTAAACCAACATCATAGTATTCAGAGAATATTTAAATTTCAGCTTTATTTATTATTCTGAGATAAACAGAACTTTTAAGATAGTTCTGATTGTCTTAATTCTGACCTTTGCTATCATCATTTTGATGTCTAAATAGATAACAATAAATGGTAATGATATGCATCAAATTTTCATTGTCATTCAACTGTTGGTGGACAAATAGGTTGGTTCATTTTGCTTGTGATGGTGAATAAAACGTCAATAAACATGGGGTTTGAATATCTCTATGGTAGAGTCTGGGTGTGGGCCCAGGAGTGAGAGAGCTGGGGCATATGGTAGTTCTAGTTTAAAATTTTTGAGAACTCTCCAAACTGATTTCTACATGACTGTATTAATTTATACCCCACCAACAGACGAGTAAGGATTCTTTTCTGTACACATTTCTCCAGCAGTTGTTATCATATTTGTTGAAGGGAGCCATTCTGTTAGGGTGAGATGGTGTCTCTTACAAGGTCATCGAATTGTACACACGTTGGGGTCTGGCTAATTTGAGTGGGTGGTGTTTTTGTCTATTTGCAAGTTTTTAAATAACAAAATTTATAAAATTTAAAAAAGGTATTCAGAAGGTATTGAAACCGGATTTTCTTTTAAAAAGTCATTCGCTCTGCCCATAAGAGATTCCCTTTGATTTGAGTAGGTAAAGATATTAACAATGTGTGGATGACCCCTGTGCACTGTGTTTAGAATTCCTCTCTAAATGAGTCTTTGTACTGTTCAAGGAGAGTCATAGCTACCTTAATGAAATTACATTTAAGTTCTTCAGGACCTACAATAGTTCTATGAGACCTCCAAATGCTTTGGCATAGAGATAATAATAAAATTGAATAGTTAAATGTTATTTTTTTACATCCCAAGAAATAATTGTTTGTTTTGAGACAAGAGGTTATTTATTATACAGTCCAGGCTGGTCTCTGACTTGGTAATTCACCTGCCTCAGACTATGCTTAATGACTTGCATCACCACATCTGTATAAAAAAAAATGTTTTTGTTTGTAAACTTTATAATCCTAGCCTGTCAGATGAAATCAGGGCCATGTTGAGATGTAGAGCCCTGTATGGTGGGAGAGGAAATGAGGGGGTTGACAGGTAGTGACAGGACTGCTCACTCTCGTTCCTCTCACTGTAAAGTCACTTTCTATTAAATCACTTCAAAACCATCTACTTTTACAAACTAGTTCAAATAAAAACTCTGTGTGTGTGTGTGTGTGTGTGTGTGTGTGTGTGTGTGTGTGTATGCCAAGCCTAGTGGCACAATCTTGTAATTACAGCTTTGGGGATGCTGAGGCATGAGGATCTCAGGTTCACAGCCAACCTCAGTAACTTTGGGAGGCCCTGACTCGCAACAATTAAAAAAAAAAAATAGAGGGTTTGGTTTGCAGTGGTGTAGAGCACTTGCTTAGCTTGTACAAAGATGTACGTTCAGTCCCAGCAATGAAAAAGAAATGTGTTAAGTAATTATTGATATGTGATTTTTTTCCTATTATCTGGATAATTTTACTTTAAAAATAGAAAAATTAGTTAAGTATGTTTACTGAGTAATTAACAGTAGAGTGGGTGGTCATGAGTATATGAAAATGTATTTTTTTGTATTTTTAAATATTAGAGTCTCAGTTATGATAAGGCATTAAAACATTTGAAATAAAACCAGTAATAGAAACTCAGAGGAAATACCATCCCCTCCCCCCAGTATCTCGATTCATTGCCAGTTCCCTCTGTGTCTGTCTGTGGGAGCCAGCCATATTGTTACCTTTCAGGCAGACCAGCCTCACCAGCCTGTCGCTGTAAATATGCTGGGCAAACATTTTGCCAAGGTACATTGGCTTTAAGAGGTTCTTTTTTGTTTTCTAGGTTTCTTAGAATAAAGGCAACTTATGTTTTATCCACACATATTTAAGCAATGGGAAAATGTTAATAACAACTTATTTAATTTTTTTCCTTTATGAAAGTAATACCACCTGGTGTGAAAATTAAGCACATTCGTGATGGCACAGAAAGGAATGAATGAATGCCCATAATGGTGCCACTCAGAGATAAGTACTGGTTACAGTTCCATCCTAGCCTTCTGACAACCCATTTTCACATAGATGAGGTCCTTGCATCTACCACTCCTGGATTTTATTATGGAAAAAATGTATGTGATATAATATTACTTTGTAAAAAGCCTTACTTTATTACACTTTATATTACTTTATTAGTTGCCTTACTTTCCAATGTAAAAGCCCTGAATTTCCCAGGTTATTCTTCTGAGAATGAGTTATATCCCCAGTGTCCCAATACTGTAAATAATACTGTGGTAAACACCTCGATGCTTGACTCATTGGCTCTGGTTGATTTCTGTGTATGTAATTACAGATACAAACAATGTGAGCATTTAGAAATTGACTATATGTCGCTAAATTACTGTCGAGAAGCATCTTGGTTATGTTCTTGGCAGCAGTATGAGAACCTCCGAAGCCACCTTCTAGCTGTCATTTGATTATGTCTGTTGTGCATTCAAAGTCAGTGGTTACCATGAGTATTCACCAAGACCTAGGATGGCAGTAGAAAGTGTGCTCCTGGGCCTTTGCCTTGGTGTAAAGATCTCCGTTGGATATTTGCAGACAGCGTGTGTTCATTTGAAAACAGTTCTCTATCCTTTTGCTCTATGCTGTTTTACTCCCATACAGGAACATCTTTGGTGGAAATTATCTTGATTCTTCCAGGTGCTCACTCAGGCTTTTGTGCTCACACATGGTTGGGCTCTTAGTTACTTTTCTGGTCGCTGTGTCCAAGATCCTGACAAGTGTAGGAAGGAAGGACTTATACTGACCTGTGATTTATGGAAGTATTCTGCATGGCAGAGTTCATTCAGCAAATAGGTGTGGCTCCAACTCCTCACAGACAACAGGGGATGCTGGTACTCAGATGCCTTCCTCCTGTTAGCCTTATCCCAGCCGGGCCTTCCCTCCTCTCTTCCGCACCAGAAATGCCGTCAGCACCCTCATACACTCAGCTCAGGGTGATTCCAAAGCCAATTAAGCTGACAGTGATTATTGACCATCACAGATGGTCAGCTCTCTAAGTTTCCATCAGTATCAAGTGGGCAGTCCTATCTCCCATCCCTTCTAACCACACTGGCCCAGGAAACAGCTTTAGTACTATACAAAAATGGATCAATTGAGTTTTCTAAGATGTTGACATGGAGAGAAGAATTGTTGAGACCTGATATTGTCGGTGCATGATAAAACTGGCCTCTGAGCATTGCTCCCACTGCGATGCTAATCTTGAGAGTCAGAGAACCAGTGCCTGGGAAGAGAGTAAACATACTTCTCATTTTAAATGAATGAGGGCATTTCTGGATAGGAATAACTAGAGACCAAACTTGTCATGTGTGTAGGTCACACCATTTAGTAGGTTACTGGGCATGTGTCTTTGGAACCTACATACCGTCCTGGCCTTTTCCTGCCTGTCTGCCTCCTGACTGACATGACCGTGTCTTCCTGCCATGATTTGTTCCTCACCTCAGACCTGAGCGATTGAACCAGGCCATGCCTCAAAGCCGTGAGCCAAAATAAGTCTTTCCTCAGGTTGGTTTTATTATAGCAGGAAAGAGGTTAAATGGCCAGTAGCCCCATTTACTGCACATCACTGTCCTGCTGGCAGCTGCCCATGCATCTGTGTAAAAGACACAATGCCTGCCTTCAACTGTTGTGTGGAATAGAAGATAACTGTGTCCCCAAATGTGCGAATTTCAATAAGAGAAGTGTCAGCAGAGGTGTGTTTGCAGAGTCCAGCCCAGCTCTGCCGATTACCCATATGGAGTGTCTGGAATAATGGTAAATAGACCCCGTTTAGGAGTCAGAGTGGCCTTTACTGGTCTGTTGGGAAGCAGAGAACATTCTAAAAAGAGAGAAAATAGTGACAGTTACAGGGTTTTGTGTTTTAGACCGAGGGTGAAGCCCAGGGTCTTGTGCATGCTGGAGAGGAGCTCTATTACACTGAGCTCCAGCTCTAGCTCAGCTGATTGTTTTTAAAATTAGCACATAATGTCATCATCACAGATCTTCTAGTCAGATTTTATAAAATTGTTCTTCTCCAAGGGTCTTTTTTTATGTGTGGGATATATGTAAATGTTCATGTGTGTCTGTGTGTGTGAGTGTGCGTGTACATGAGTGTCGAGGCCAGAAGATGACATCAGGTGTTTCCCAGATATAACCTCACCTATTTATTTACTCACTTATTTTTTTTTTCTTATTTGAGACAGAGTCTCTGAGTGGCTCTGGAGCTGAGTGGTTCAGCTCACTGGCTGACCAAAGGGTTGTTGCAATCCTCTGACTCTGTGATCTACCTCTCTCCAGCACTGCCGCATCAGAAGTGCGTCACTGTGCTGGCCTGGATAGATTTCATCAGTGCCTTGAGGTTGGTTTCCTCCAAGGAGCTTGCGAGAAGCCTTTGTACTCACAGCACTAAGAATTTGTGCTGATTGAATGTATGTAGACGGTGTACGTTGGTTGCTGTTTGACCAGCTCCTGTTGGTTTAAACTTGTTCGACGCTTCCATTGTGTGTTATCAATATAGTGATGGATGCACCTCTTATAGGAAACTATGCAATTTTGACTCAGAACCACAGTTCTCTAGTGTAAGTAATTTGCCCCTGAAACACATACCTTGGCTAACCCTTCTTTTCATTTTATGCCACTTTCTTGGAGGTGGGCTTCCTGACCAACTCACCTAATTTTAAGTGTTATCATAGCATATATTATGTCTTTCATTTTTTGTTTGTTTTGTTGTATTATTGTCTGGAGACTGTCATATCTTTGTAATGATAGAGACAGGGTTGATTTCCTGTTGCTTCTTCAGAGTCCAGATTAAGACCTGACCCGGAGCTCTCAAAAGTACTTGAAGTATACATGAATGTTAAGTATCGAATCCTAAAGCTACCCCGATGATGGTGTAGTGTTAAATACTGGACCCAGGGTTGGAGCTCTTGGAGAGTTTGCGTTTCTCACACTTATTTGGTGTGACTCAATTATTTTATTCTTTGAGCATACTTGTTAGTGCACTGGAAACATAGGCTGAAGTTCTCATCCTACCCATTTCTTCTGGGCTCTTCTTTTTAAGCCACTGTTGCTATGTTTTGGGTTCTATATTTGTCTTTTAGGGGGCTGTCTTTATCCTCACCTTTGCTTCTGGACCTGTTTTTAAACCCACACTTACTTTTCTCCCACTTATGCTTCTGAAGCCCCCATTTCCTCATTTGTTTCCTACCTAATACAGTTATAGTTAAGAAGAATTTGTTTGAATTATTATTTATAATGGTGTTGACTCTGTCTTGCTTTTGTTATTATATAATACAGTATTTGCTATTGGCAGTTATATGGTAGAACTCATTTATTGACTTTATTTCTTTTAAGCTATCAACAAAGAACTTTAATATAGCCAATCAAATAAGACATTTTCAAGAAAATATCCTTATTGGATAGGTTGTCTAATGTGGATTTAAAAGTTATTTGATTATTAGTTAAAAAAAGTATATATGCATATATACTATATAACCATCTTCTATAAGGCAAGAATTGAGGTAGATATAATAAACTGAATGAAATCTAGTTCCCTTATGAGCCTGTCAACATTACACTGGGAGATGAGTTTGAGACAGACAAGTAATCTAGTCCTCCTCTTTTCAGTATTTTGTTATCAATGGCTCAAGTAATCTGTGGTCATCTGCTCCATGATCCCCCTGCTGATCTATTGTCAGAACAGTAGTAGCCTACAGCTGGGTTACAGTCCGATCGGTCACCTCACTTCCTCTTAACATATAGGCGTTGTGTAATCTCACACAGTTATCACAAGAAAGTTGAATGAAGTTTTGTAAGAGAGAAAGAGAACCACATTTACATAAATTGTATTATAGAATGTTGTTCAGTTATAAATCTCTTACTCTGAATTATAAGCTAGTCTTTATGTTGAGCATACACACACACACACACACACGCACACACAGGAGCATCATATATGTAGAGTTCAGAGTTCTGTATCAGTTTGGGCATTCACTGAGTATGTTGGAACATATCTTGTAGATAGGTGGACTTCTGTAGCTTGGCAGTACCTTATTCTGTGTTCTCAGAGAGACGTTCAGGTTGCTTCCCATTAGCACATGAAGGGATGTTAACTCATGGATGGTGGACTGAAGACCATAGTACTGGAGCCATGTCACGTTAACACAGGTGAAGAATAAGTGTAGCAGACAGTGCTGGAGATGAGGCTGGCCTAGTAGAGTGGACTGGATTATGGCCATACCTCCTGGCTCAGGCCTCTAATCCCAGGCTAAGGCAGGAGAAACACAGGCCAACCTTGGCCTTATAATGAGTTCAAGCTCAGCCTGCCAACTCAGCAAAACCATGTTTCAAATTCAAAACAGCAAAAAGAGGAGTAGGGATAGAGCTCCGTGGTGGAGTCCATGCCTACCATGTAAATTTCTAGGTCCAACCACTAGTAGAACAACAGCAAAAACATCCATATTATTTAGAACCTCACAGTACCTGGTAAGTGGGTACCGTGTAACGTTGGGATTGAACATGCGTGTTCAGAGCTCCTAGAGGAGGAAGATGCCATATTCCAAGTCTGGTTAAAACAAACTGTCCCATGTTCCACGTCTGGGAGAACCTGCTTTAGTGCTTATGGGCCTGGTGAGGTGCAGTTTGGTGTTGAAGGCTGGAGGTGATTACAGGAATCTAGGGCAGATGAGATGATGTCAGAGGTGTAAGGTCTCAGTGGCATGGGTGCCGACATGTCTACATGCTTTGTTTAAACTGTGAAAGCCAGCTTTCCTCCTTCCTATGAGATGCCTGCGTGTGGCATAGAGTGCTGCTCTTGGGAGTCTAGAAATCTCTGTTCCCGTACTTCTCAAAGTTTACGAAGTAGTGGAGACTGGTGTGGCTGTGCCTTCTGCCTCACCTTCAGTAGCTGGCTGGTGTGAGGGAAGCTGTTGTGCTGTCTTTCCCCTCACTGCTTTTCTGTGATGGGAACACGCTTTAACAGGACTTGAGCGTGGCATTTGCCCAGGAGAAACGTGTATACACAGGGGACACTAACAAGTCTGTGCTGGCCTTTCCTTGTCACTGCATGACCATTGCCTTTGTCTGTCTAGGTACCTGGATGGTGTGGGGAAAAACGGAGCAGCCCCTGTGCTCCTCGAGCTGGCCAATGAGGTAATGTTATTGTTATGATTTTATTTAAACCTGAGCTAAACCTAAGGGGCCTATCGAGAGTAGTGTTACTCAGAATTGTAATTAACTTTTAAAAAAGGGAAAGATTTTGAGGTGTGTTAGACATTTAAATTGCTCCCTGATCTCTTTGTACTTTTAATAATTGGACAAAGAACTTCGTGAATTAATAAATCAGTCGACATAATTAGTCTACTTCTTTTAAGGCAAATGTACAAACAGCTTCTTTGCTCCTTGTTTTGTGGAAAATTTCAGCCAAACAGCTCTGAACATGCTCTTAGGATTGGTGCCTTCATTTAGCATGAGAAATACCTGTGTCAAGTAAAGAGATGTGTGCCAATAAAACCTATGCTAAGTATTATAAAACCGAAGTGAGAAATTTTATATTTAGCAATGTATCATTTACTTGATTCATTTTTCTGTTTGTAAACTTTTATTATAATAAAGGACACCAGCCTATGGTAAAGCGCCTTCCCATAAAGAAACATAATATTCTTATTAACACCAAGTATAAAGTGATTTATGGAGCTTATTTGTTAGCTCTGATCTGCTCCTGTGTGGGGAAACAGCTAACAGCCTAGCATTTTCAAAAGGAAACCCTGAAGATTTTCTACGAGTGGAGAAACTGCAGAAAGTTCACAATAGTTGCAGAGAGCCTACTGAAAAATAAAATATTTAATTCCTAAACTCTAAAATATTTATCCACTGTAATGAGAGCAATACAGTATTGAGTCTGAGTTGGAATGGCTTATGCAAACCTCATAGGGACGGCATGAAATGCACACTGTTTCTGTGTTGTGTTATAATGGGAAACAGAGAGGCAAGGCAGAAAATGTGTGTTTGCATTAAAGATGACTCTGTGCCATGAACATTAGGCGTTGCAGGAGCAGCAAGTTCTGCATGCTGCATTAGGAAGGAAGGATGGCTTCTCTTGCAGCTCACGTCTGCTGCACACTGCTGCACTCAGCAGAAGATCAATTACCCACCAGTTACTAGATGGTTTTAATAGTCTGGAAAGCACCTTCACAACCTGATAGGATGGCTAACACATAGAACAGTTTGTCTTGTATCTTATTTTCTTATTTCTAGAGCAGGGCGGTTGTTAAGAATCTCCAGATATTTTGCTGTTGTTGTTCTAAGCTGATGCTCTTAGTTGCCTTTAGGTACTGCCTGAGCGCTAAGTAGAATTTTAATGATTATCCTCTGTGGAAGAGAGGAGGAAGCGAATAGCATTGAAGGTGCATCTGGAAAAAAGTGTGTGCAGATGTGGAGCTTGCTTTCATACATGATCACATTGATGGTGGAAGTTCTCTAAAGGAGCACTTTATATTCATTTGAATTTCATTTTTTTAAAGAAAGATTTATTGTTATTTCTATGTATATGAGTGTTTTGCCTGCTTGTATATTTGTATACCTTGTTTGTGCTTAATAGCCATGGAGGCCAGAGAAGGGTGTCAGATTCCCCAGAACTGGAGTTACACATGGTTGGGAGCCACCACCTGGGTCCTGGGAATCGAACCCAGGTCTTATGGAAGAGTAGCCAGTGTTCTTGATCACTAAGCCAACTCTCTTCCAGCTGCTCATTTGAATTTTTAATGGATAGTTCTGTTGAGATTAGTTTATGGGACTGATCTCAGATTCCATTTTATTGGGATTGTATGGGAAAAGCTAACCCGTCACCATCTATTTCTCTACATCAATAAATCTACTATTTACCATGAATATGTAGCAATATTTAGCTTCCCCAAAAGAAATAGTTATTTAGAGATTACCACCCTCACCCCTTTCTTTTGGTGCCCAGTTAGTGCAGAGGAAACACTTTCCATGAGATTACTAATGCATTAGAGTAATTTGGAAATGGTGGGTACCAGATTATGACTTCTAAACATCGAGAGTCCCACGTTTATATGCTAGTTAATACTTAAAGGACATACGCTTATATCTGGTGGCAATTGATGTGATAGTAATATTTTATGAATCAATATATTTTTAATCAGTGGAAACTGTAAAAGTTGATGAGAAATATGTAACTCCTACATGATACTGTGCCGCAGCTCTCCTCTTAGATACAAGCACCATATTATTGTTGATTTGGGGGATAGGAGATCTAGGTAGCCACCATTGGTTTCATAAATGTCTTAATACCATTTTTCCTGATCGGGCCTGAAAATGCATATTTTAGGAAATCTCCTTCTGTTAGTGATTATATGATCCGTCATTCTGTTCTCTCCACACAAATATTTTCAAGTTATATTTGAAGCACTATGAATTTTACTTACATGCTAAATTCTGACATGAAGCATGATGGCCCTATTTCAGAGCAAGATGGACACATGATTAATATGAAAATTAGAGAGATGCAGGTACCTGAACTAATAAGGTAGTCCTTATTCAGGCTGGACCACCTTCGGTAATTTCACCATTTTTCATGTGTCAGCCCTGATGTGGGTTACTCCGAATAAGCAGCTCTGTGGAAAGCATTTCTTTCTACTCAGGGAATTTAAGGGCATCCAAGTACATACATATTTGGAAAAAAAAACTGTTCATACAAATGAAGCTACCTTCTTTATCTAGTTACTAAATCAAAATAAAACTTTGGAATGGACATGGGACTTTCATACCTGTCAAGAAAAATTCTGGTGATAATATATGAGGAATATTTCTCATTTTACACTCAGGATGAAAAGTATTTTATTAGGGGGGCATCACTGCTTTTTAAAAAAAACATATATACATATAGATAGATAGATAGATAGATAGATAGATAGATAGATAGATAGATAGATAGATATCCTGGTGAAATTAATCAATAGGTAATGAATAATCTGTAAAGAAAATACATAAATGAGTAGGTGATTTGTTATTATTATCATTAGTAAAATGACTTTTGCTGAATGTTCTCTGTTTTCCCTTTGATTCTCTGTTTAAAAACAGGTTCACTTTCTGAATTTGTTAAATTGATCAGCAATATTTTGGGCCAAACTCAGGATACTAATTTATGTTGCAGATACTATTATTGTTTTATTTTATTCTTAATATCTCCACAAAGTAGTTTTTTCTTTTATCATCTAACATATTTTATATGTAAAGAACTTACCGTAAATCTCAGCTCTCCGAAGATATAATGAGATCAGTCAAAAATCCCCAGTTTTAATGGTTTGGACATTTGAGTTAGCTCTTGAAAAGTGACTAAATAAAGAGTTTTTTGAAATTGGAAATTGAACTCAAAATAATGTAAGTGTAGGAGGTTGGATAGAAAAGGGGTTTTGTTGGGCAGTAGAGGCATGTGCTTTTAATCCCAGCACTCGGGAGGCAGAGACAAACAGATCTCTGTGAGTTGGAAGCCAGCATGGTCAGGCTCCAAAGCTACAGAGAAATCCTGTTTTGAAAAACAAAAACAAAAAAAAAAAAAAAAGAAAAAGAAAAAAAAAAAGGAAGAAAGAAAAGGAAGGGAGTTCTAGATTAGAAAGCAATATTGACCTACCAATAAAAATTGAGACTATAAGAACATTTTTGCCTATTTTGGATAAATATTATTTCCAAGTTGTCCCATCATTGTTAGTTCCGATGTTGTATTCTATGAATGACTCCTCTATCTTTTCAACAGCACAGATCTTATAGTCTACTACAATGGAAGCCACCAAGGGTGGTAAAGATTTTAATGAATGATGCTTGTTACAGTTGATTAAAATTGACTTAATCTTCAGTGTTGACAAAATATTGGAATATCAACTGCTGGCACAGTTTGGCAGTTTTAATTTTCTACGTCTGTTTTCTGAAGGTGGACTATGCACCCTCATTAATGGCTCGGATTATCCTGGAGAGATTTCTACAAGGGCATGAACAGACTCCAC